TTGGGATACAGAAAGAAGCAAATTCACACACACACTTTTATTGATAAAAGAATTTCAACAAGACCTCTTGAGGAACAGACAGCTGAAAACTAGTAAATGCTAAGGGGGCCACTGCAGTCAGGGTGCTAAATAAATGTGTGCTGGACTAGGACAAGAGCAGCTATGTTCCTTCAGAGGCAGGCAGCAAAAGCAAATGGATTCTGTGCCCAGTTCAGTAACTGTGATCTGTTTGAACAACAAAAACCTGGGAACTTGTTATTAGTGAAAGGCAATATGCCTACAGTCACAAGGGGTATGCAGTAATGACCTGAGGAAATATGATAGCTAAATATGGCTGCTGCCAGTATGCAGCATGAGGAGTGCCTAGATTAAACTAATTATATTCCAGCACTATAACTGTATGGATTTATTACTGCAGGTAAGGTTAATAACCCTCAACTATTTTAAAAAAAAAAAATCTGAACTAATTTAGATTAACATGATTAACACCACCACAGTCACTGGATATCATCACTCCTTTTCCCTAACAAACTATAAATTCTTCACTGGAACCATTTTCTGCTTCCTGCCTGCAACAGCAGTCCAGTGACCTACATATTTTTTTTCTCCCCCTGAATAAACTGAGCTTTACCTTCACATTAGTTTTGCTCTTCACTTCCCATCCTTGTATGCTTGCAAAATTGTGAACATCCACCTGGGAGTGCTGACTCACTAAATGCAGGCTCTGTTCCAATCCACACTTCACACAGGAGTAACTCACAGCGTGATATTATTCTTCTCCATTAATTACTCCACTTCTTAGCTACAGTTTCACACCAGAAACCTGTTAAGTTGGCCACAACACCCTTTTTCACAACACTGCACTCCACAAGGCAGTTTCCTAGCCTAGAAGCACAGCTAGCAGGTATTCCTGTGTCTGCCTGTTTCTATCCTACTACAACAGGACAGGTTGTTACTGTATGCTACTGTAAGAATTCAAACACAAGATAAACTGAATCATGACCACATATTCTTGAGCAATACACTTTTTTCAGTAGCTCTGTATTCTGCTCTTTACAGCAAGAACCCAAACTGCCCTCCATGGTGCTATTTTCTTAGTGGAATAAACAAAGTTAGAAGAAGAAATGAATTCCCATCTTGGACCTGCCAGAACAGATGCTCTTGTGTTCCATACCAAAGATGTAAATGGCAAGAGGGAGGACAGCTGTTGGGGATCCCTTGGGATGCTGCAACAAGTGGTACAAAGGGGCTGCCTTGACTCCACTGCTAAAAACGAATTCTGGTTTCTCACATGAGCTAAGTAGCTGTGGTAGGAGCTGCAAACGTGCATGGAAAAAATGCTTTTCTACCACTGCATGTAGCAGATGCCCTGGAGATAACTGTTGGTCCTACACTGCAGTGCTAGAAAGGAAAGGCAGGAGTGAAGTGCTGTGCAGGAAGGTGATCTTTCACAGGATCATTTTGTTTGGAAGAGATTTCTAAGATCATCAAGTCCAACTCTTAACCCAGCACGACCAGGGCACCACTAAACCATGTCCCTCAGCACCACATCTCCACAGCTTTGAAAGCCATCTGGGGATGGGGACTCCAACACTGCCCTGGGCAGCCTGGGCCAGGCCTGGACAACCCTTTTGGGGCAGACTTTTTGTTATGTCCAGCCAAAACCTACTCTAGCACTTCTATTAGTATTCCTCTTGTCCTGTCAGCTTGCTCCTTGGGAGGAGACCAACCACCTCCTGGCTCCAACCTCCTTTCAGGGAGTTGTGGAGACCCAGAGGGTCTCCCCTGAGCCTCCTTTGCTTCAGGCTGGACAACCCCAGGTCCTTCAGCTGCTCCTCATATGACAAGATGGGAGGCTGACATCCAACAGCAAGGATACCAAACCCAGTTCATTTGCAGGAGATGGATGTAAGCACAGGGATTTCAAATAGCTGGTAGTACCACTGACACCAAACTGCACTTGACCACAGCTAGCTGGAGTTAAATAGTATTCCTCCTGAGCAAGAACTCCTCCTATTGACCAGACAGGAGTTAGGAAATGCTGGAAAGATTGCTAGCCTGTGGGCTACTGCTTTCTGAGGCGAACTGCACAGCCTCCATTAACAAAGACAAAACAACAGCCCTCCCTCTTAGGTTCCTCACTATTCCAGAAAGCTTGCCAGTGGAAAAAGTTGCAAAAACCATGCTGCCCAGGTGTTTAGAAGAGTTTTAACAAGTCGAAGGTCTCTGCTGTCTCCTGGGATTAGTTTTGATCTCATGTACAGAAGATGAAAGATCCCTTATTTGTTTTCTTACTTGAAACGTACCAGTCAACAACTACCCCATTCAGAACTGGGGCTTCAGGGGTCAAGCCACAAACAAGACAACTGCATTTCTGGGAAGGGTCAGAAGTTCTAGGATGAACAAGGCTGTACAGAAGGCAGACACTCAAGTGAGGAAAGCGGATAAATTGTGTTGGAATGCAGCTCTAAACTCATTCAGAATATAATGGAAACTTTGATAGCAATCTGCTGAAAGGGAACCACACTGCACTTGTCCTTCCTAATTAGTTCCATCAGGCTTCCTTCGCTAAACATACTCTCTTTCAAAATTAAAAGCAGAAACGCCTCATGTTACTTCAAAGCAGTGGAAGAAGCAGCGTGGAAATATTGTTCTTCAACAGCAAATTCTCTTGTGAGCAGTTCCAGAGTCCAGAAGGTCTCCACTGAAGCTGCTGAACAAATGTAAATGGTTGGAATAAGTAAAGTCCCCCAGCAGTAACAGTACCATTGATGGAAAAAGTAAGATTATCCAAGAAGTAAGATCAGTTGAAGTGCTTCCAACAAAGCAGCTTTGTTCTGAACATTAGCTTAGAAGTTTTCTTCACATCTTACCTTAGAAGAGTCCTTAGAGCCACTTTGACCTTTGGTATAATACAAGCCACAAGAGAGTTTAAACATGATTGTGGTTCTTGAAATGGAAATTTCTTAAAGTATCTCAGTTCAATCAAACTACTCATCAGCAAAAAAGTTTTATGTAGCTTCAGAGTTGATTACCTGACCTGTGAAAGCATAAACCCGTTATAGGGTCCAAGTACATATGTTCTCCACCACTAACTGCTAGCTATCTTTGTCTGCCAGATCCAATTATCCCAATTTTTCTAATTTACATTTGTCTAACTCAATCTCATTCTACTGCACCTCTCTGTAGTCCAAATTCCTCCAAATTTAGCAGCCTCTTTGTACTTGATAATTCTTGTTGTCCATCTCAAATCCCTGTCCAACTTGGCAGCAATCTCCCTAAACTGTTGACAAAGTAACATACACAACACAGGTGGAGAACAAATGCAGAGGTAGCATAACCAACATACTCTCCAACCACATTCATTCCATGCATTCACATACAGAATCTCCAATATTGATGATATAGTACTGGAGCATTTTACCAGTTATTTGTCATTTGCAAAAAGAAACAAAAATTTGAGGGAAAAAAAACCAAACCATAAGTGTAATCAGTAGAGAAGTCAGCAAGCAAGCATTCACTGGACATGATAAAGGTCTCATGAATCTCAGTGAAACTATACCAATGTGTGACTTTCAAAGAATTTTCTGTGCCCCGGTCAAGTTTGGCATTGCAGTCAGGTACTGAAACTCATCATTCACAAGTGTCCAAGCCCTACGCAGGAACAACATCTGCTACATTCCACTTTGTCAGCTAAAATAATGCCAGCACTTAACATGCAAAAGAATTCAATGACTTCAGCTAAAAAGACTCCAAACCTTAAGACTAATAAGAACAATGTCAATAATAATACTAACAATAACAACTATTATTATTATTTCCTTTAAAAGCAATTAGGTATGCCTCCAGGATCAGACTTTTGGATCACTGAATATTATTTTTCTGAGTATGTTTAATAAAAAAAACAAACAACCCAGAAACTCAACCAAAGAGCTTCTCTTCTACCAGTTAAGATACTTGGTTAATTGTTGAGTGGAACTAAAAATAGACGACAAGACTCGTAAAAAACAATTCAGCTCTGGCAGGACAGCATTCTTGCTGTCTGTAAATCAAGAATTTCCACATATTTTACTTTAAATTTATCTTGTTACAACTAAATTTTTATCTAGAATAGAATTTTCACTCCATATGAAAGCAACATGCTGAATGCTTTCTAGCTACATTTTCCCTGGAAAACAAAATAAAACAGTTCAGACTGGGCTCATATGCAGCTATTGCTGGCAGGAAACCAACATTCGGTGATAATGGAACGCAAACAGTGCCCTATTTATGAAAATCCTTTAACTCCACAAACTTCCAATACTGCACTAAGAAAGTTGTGCATACCTTCGAGACAGGGAAAAAAACCCAAAACACCTCCAGTAATCAAGTTGTATTTCTGCTTTTATTTAAGTCGATTAAAAAATACTTATAGCAAATATTTATATATTCAAATCAACTATTCTTCAAATCCTCCTGGTGAGTGGAGAACAGATCCTTACAGTAATTATCTGCAAGTTTTACAATGAAGCATTGTACTTTTGGAAAAGCGATAGAGCGCCAGGGCCACAAGTCCCTGAGAACAAGTCCACAAGAGAACACTGTTCCTATGATACGGTATTCCTCCTTCTCCCCCTGAAGGCAGGAGCATTTTCAGAACATGGACTGATTTCCAGATACTGAAACCACCTAGTAATGGATAAAAGGACATTTAGAAATATGGCAAATCAGATTATTGGTTTGAAAAAATCAAAGACAGGTTTTGTAATAAGTTTCATTAAAGTCACAACCTCATTTTTCAGTTTTCCAAAAACATGTCAGCACTGGAAAAGATCCAATTTCTACCCAAGACAACTTCCAAACAAATGGCTTTTGTAGGTAAATTCACTTTGCATTTGTAAAGTCACAGATAACTAATGCATAAAATGATTTAAATTCAAACCTTTTGTCTCCTCACCCACTTCCTGCTAGTCTTTCTGTGCTTCAGTTCTCAGTCAGCCGTGTCTTCTGAACAAAGTCTTTTATTCTGCCGCTCTCTTATCAGAGCCAGTCTGATCTGCATTTTCAGGCAAACCCACTCCCATGCTCAGCAAGATGTTAGAGGTGGGTCCTGCCAGTCCAGACTGAGCACTATAGGATTCAAGCAGGTTAGTGACGAGGTTGGTATCCACATCAACTGGTGCAAGCTCAGTATCTTCAGCTCCAGGATCAGGGCCAGCACTTTCAGACACAGTTGCTTTAGCAGAACTTGCCTACAGTAAGCATAAAGAGAAAGTCCTATCAAGTTTTATAAAAAGGTTTAAAAACCAAACTAGCCAAAAATGACAAACTGCAAGAGAAAAGAAACAAGGAAACAGTTCTGTAGCCAACAAAGTTCAGCATATTCCACACTCTTTTGACAGACAGGAATTTAGTTACCAAACACTCATGCCAGTTAAAAATCAGCACTTTCCATTCTACTGATTATATTCCAAGTGAAAGACAGATATACTACATGAACTCGATAAGTCAAGCTGCCATCTGTTTTGTCTTATTACTGAAACAGGGTAAAACAGGGAAATGAAGCTAAGTCTTGGAAATGCTGTGCAAGATAGAGCTGAGATAATTATTTGTTTTTAAATAGCATGGTGCAACTGCAGCACATTTTGCCTGCACGTGGAATTTTATTTTAAATAATTAGTCAGCACATGATCAGGAGACAGAAGTTTTTGGTCACACTATTAAGAATGACCACTTGTAGCATATTTCCTCTTTCCTACCAATGCTCTCAAAACTCTTATGCTGCAAACTAGAATTTGAGGCATACTCACCTCCTTCTTTTGGGTGGTGAAACTTTTACCAACGTTGGTATGTGCCAGTTCACGGTCCATCTCATTCATATAGGCCTTGAGACTGCCTATAAGCTCACTAGGTGATACGTTCTGGTCTTGCTCTGGATTTTCAGCATCTAAGTCTTCATCATCCTCATCTGAAAGGTCAAACTCCTGCTCTTCATCCAGATCATCAGAATCCAGCTCTTCTGAGTCCGTCCCTATGGATTATTTTGTGTCAGTACAGATAGGGTCAGCCCAGGGGTGATCAGAACACAGAGGGAAGCCAAACCATCATGAGATACACTAACAAAAGAAACAAAGAAGCAACCTCACCTAAAATTCTGTCTAACGCTTTTGTAAAAGAATCTACATCAAAGGTAACAGGGGATTCATCACATGACCTGAAATATAAAAGAATATTTTAAAATCAATAAAACTTTTATGCTTGCATAAGCCTGACACAGGCATCAGCCAGACAGCATATTGATTTCTCTCAAGCTTAGATGAGTGTTAGGACATTTGAACTGATGGTCTTGGAAGTGCTTAGGAGTCTGAGGCCTGTATGAATTAGAAATGAAACAGCAAGTGGAGGAATTCCTGGCATGCAAAAGAAAGTAAACCAAACAACTTTAATTGTCTGTTGTAGTGAAACAAAAATTGCACCACAGACAGCCAGAATATGCCTGAATCCTTCTGGAACAACATAGTGGTGCTAAACCTTAGACAAAGATTTAAAAAGCTGAGAATCTGTGATGTCTCCTGCCTAGAGAGAACACTAACGGCTTCATTCTGGTCTCTCTTAAGGCTTGGTGGTTTGCCTGGCTTATTTTTTTGCAGTGTTTCATTTGTTTGTTTGTTTGTTTAATAACTGAAAGAAACCTACAGTACAACTCAAACACTGATCCTTTCTAATTAGCATCAGTCTCAAACAGTTAAGAGCATAAATTCCATAGACCCTTAAATGCTTGATACAGCTTATACAGTGTTCTTTTTCCAATATTAAAGCTGTTAAAAAGAACCTGGACAACAAGCTACCACCTAACTCTGACTTTTAAAATTAGAGGTCTGTCCAACAGAAAATCAAACTAAGTAAAAGCTGGAAAACAGCACAAATTCCAGCATTTTTACCTGCACCAGTGTCAGAGTGGTCACCAAGCTGGTTTAAGAGCAACCATGTATTCACTACCAAGAGTGGATTTGTGTTAGGCCTCTGCCAAGTAGAATACTTTCAAACTCTGATTCTCTGCATTACAGAAGAACCGAAGGGCTGCAGCAGGATGAAAACACATCCTACACAAGACACAGAACATAAAAATACTACTACCATGGCATTTCTGCTCCTTCGTGAGTTGAGACCTTGGACACAAAAGCCTTCATGCTTTCAGCAACTGCTTCCAAGTCGTATTTCTGCTCTTCCTCATCTGAGGAAGGAAAGGACTCGCTCCTTGTCTCCTTCAGCACCTGATCTAGGTCCTCTGGTGTGATATCCAGCCAGCTGTCATCTGAAAGAATACAGGACATACTTGTTATCCTGCAGAAGTCTGTCACCCCATAAGGCCAAATCCAGGTGGCTGGGAGTATTTCTAGCAATTTTGTAGCTTATTTTTGCACTACAAAGATTTCATGCTGCTACTGGATAACACAGTGTCTAAGGCAGAGAGAGTTCAGATTTCATTTTACTACTTCAAAATTCTGTTTCATATGCTGCTTCAAACTAGCAGATACTGTCCTAGTCACAGATAACAATCTTGTCACTAAATGAGGGAAGAAAAGGCTTTGTGTGCTGCTGCATCATTCAAAAATACAGATGCCACCTGTACTGCACACCAGCAAGAACTACAGTTCTGTCAAAAGAGTGGAAAAAATGTATTATATAAAGCTTATGCTGGTCTTATATTTGCCATCAGAGTAGATGAAATAGCAATTAACTTTGTATTGTCAGTGTTGGAATTCGTTTATTAATTATAAACTGTTTAAATACTTTCTGTCTGGTAGACAGCTGACACAAAGTACTCAGTCAGGTGTAAGTGTACATGGTGTTGCTGATCGGGGGGTATCAAACCAGGAACTGGATATCTTTCCAATTCACAGCCCCGTGGCTTATGCAAATGAACCAGCTGCCTCCATCTTAAATGATGGCCCAAGAGTAACTCCTCTAACAACCACAGCATAGGAGACAAGCGGAGCAGACACAAACCGTGGTGCAGTGCTGTCAACGTTCACCTTCTCCCCCCAAAAATAGCCATTTGGGATAGGAATAGTCCACCCCCCACTCACCATCCTCTGGAGGAAGAGAAGCCGCTTCTCTCTCCAATTCCGTCATATCAATGTTTGTTGTCTGGAGCAATGTCAAGATTTCATCACCTGGGCTCATTTCAAGAGGACTATAAGAAAAAAAAACTCCATTTACTGAAACGGGTTTTCACATTGCATTGCAATGCCAACGGCATCACACAATCTACATGTAGGTTTTCACTTAAGTTCCTCCTTATTCCTTCTGTGGAAGTATATCCAAAAGATAAGCAAATCTGGGGGAAGTACCAGAATACTACACAGACTATATTAGCCAAAACAAGCCATGGTCAATTACTGTAATTCCTTGTTGATGGCTTCAAAGCCCATTTTTCATGTTTCGTTTTTTCTTTACATTTATTTTGTCTTGGTAAACATCAGGATTGCCAGATCCCAAGCAGTGCAGATTGGAAACCCAAGCAACAGTCAAGATATTATGTGCTGACAAACCCTCAGATATTTTTGTGATGATTTATTTTTTGGATTCATTCTTTAGGAGGAAACTACAGCCAGCTGACTGCTTTGAGTAAAGGAGGCAGATTACTCCATATTTACTATTCACTGGGATTGCTTTTCTATTAAACACTTTCTCTAGCCAACCAACCAAATGACGCCTTTCAGTCACCTCTTAACCCACTTGGAATAGCTTTATATTCTACAAAACCAAGACAAATAGTTACACAAGCAATACAGTCTACTAGTAGAGAGTATTCTAAAGGAATTAATACCCCTATGTCCCAGCCACTGCACCCGTGTTAAGTGTACAGCTGAGAAAAGTGTTCAGTGTTTTTGTAACAAGTATTAAAAAAGGTAAGTGAAGGTAGTTACTGTGGATGATTGCTCATGAATTTCAAGTAGCTCTTACCTTTCTGGTTTGGAAAGAGACTGCTGGAAGTAATCTTCTGCCATCCGCAACAGCTCTGTGTACTTGGCAGATCCTTCCAGTTCTCCCTAATTAATGCAAGTCACAAATATGAATCTAAACCATTCTCCCTCCCCTTCCTTTTCACAGTCAGGCTTTGTAACCATGCCTGTTTGTCACACAGAAATTTAGTGATAAGAAAATCAAAACAAGCAATAGTGCTTTTCGATGGGTACACTAAACCAATCAAAGACAACAACGTGATCCCCACAACAGGGCAGATTTATCATGCCCAGGTTGCAATTGTTCAGGAATTGTGAATGCATGTCTTGGTGTTTGGGAATTATTCACTGCAATACTGCAGAGAATATCCCCTTTTTCTTCTACTTATAAGGCATTAACCTAAGCATTCTGATAGAGTGGTCCAATTTCATAACCTACTATAATCTACTTCAAACAAGCAGTCAATTTATGTCAAATTTACAAATGTCAAATAAGTAGTTAAGGGCATCTATAAAAAACTAAACAACAACAAAAAACTCAAAACCAAAAAAATATCCTTACATGGGCCCAAATGGGTCCATGGATGTTAAGTAAAGATCTTTCAGAATATTTAATTCTAGAGGCATGCAAGTGAAACATAGACCAGTGAAAACAGTTATACTGACACACAACCATACTGTGGTTTCCTTTCTTCAAGTGTATCACCCCTTCCTTTAAATGAATAAATTCAAACCAAAATTGTGCTTTTTCTTTTTTAATCTCCAGAAGAAATTAATTTCAAAGGGGAGCAAACTGCACTTATCTCCTTTAAGGACATTCAATCATTTCCCACAGACAGAAGCATTAGATTTTTTGCCCTGCTGTAACTACTCACAAGAGCTAAAACATATTTTTCCTGGAATGTTTAGAAGACAAACACACACACTACTTCACCTTGAAATATTTTTTTTCCTTCAGGCTGCTGAGGAATCTCTCCCACAAGGGACCACATAACACATTTCTCTTGGAATCAGGAGATACTTTACTGCACTTGGAGCACAAAATTTCAAAGCCATGAGCCTGTATAAGAGATGCAACAAGAGGTTCTCAAGATGTGACAAATTTCAGTGAACCTTTAAATGACTGCAATTAACTGACTATCATCAAGCTCCTGATGAGCACTTACATTCAAGTAGGTGTGAAACCAAATTACATGTCAGGTAGCAGTATCTTGCTTTGGAAGCTGGAATCTGCCTTTCTGCAACATTAATGGACCACTTTGACTTAGCAAAGTTTTTCCTACATGGGCAAAGCAACCTAGAAGGCAGATCTATAGTGCACAAGCTACTCCTCGCACACGCATGAAGACTTTGTCTGTATTTATGATCTATGGAAGTACAAAAGTGCTCTATTCTGTAAAAAAAAATTCCCATCATAATCTTATACTTCCAGAAAAATGGTAACTGCGAATTTACTCATGTTTTTGCAACGTTTTTCCTACATGGGCAAAGCAACCTAGAAGGCAGATCTATAGTGCACAAGCTACTCCTCGCACACGCATGAAGACTTTGTCTGTATTTATGATCTATGGAAGTACAAGAGTGCTCTATTCTGTAAAAGAAAATTCCCATCATAATCTTGTACTTCCAGAAAAAATGGTAACTGCGAATTTACCCATGTTTTTCTGTACAAAGAGCAATTTCTCAGATATATGTAAACAAGCAAACTAAAGACTAAGTACAAAATGCATAAAAAATAAATTACCAGTTTCATGCCCAGTTCATAGGCTTTGTACTGAGGGTGAGATGGGAGGGGGAGTGTGTATCCACTGCGCCTATCTGGAACAAACTTCTGCTGCATCAGCTGTGCATATAAACACTTTGTGAAAGTAACCTGAAAAAGGCAAAGCAAAAGAAAAAAAAACTCACTGCAGTGTAACTGTGTTGCATCCAGGCACCAATTTTTCACCAGTTTCCTCTAAATTTGGGGTTAAAGTAACCATATTACAGACAATACCTGAGATTGTATTCAAAATACATCTTAGATACCTTTGCCTAAGATATGCTGCCTTTCAGATCTTACAACACATATTCCAAGCTGACACCTCTAAATAAACATAAACTTCATTCACTTTAAATACATTAGGAGAAATCCTCAGTATACATGCCAACAAGGTATATTTTGAAAAATGTAAGGGCTCTTTTCAATTCACAAAACCAAAGCTGAGATTTCAAGAATGGTCTAGAAGCCTAAAATTCAACTCTGAATCTTGTTTTCAGGAGTCTAAGGGTGTAACTGTGTAATGCAGCTGTACCAGATAAAACAGTGCTTGGACAATGCTCAAAAACACTTAAAAAACAAAAAAAATAGCTTCCACAGAGCTGTGTAAACACAGTTGAGGTGATGAAAATCCTTGGATGGAACAGCTAGGGGTAGTTAGGAACAAGTCTTTTCATTGGCTGGTGGTGCTATCAAACTGCTCCAAAGACAGAACCTGATCAATGTACCCAGCAAGCATTTCAGCAGAGGAACTATTAGCAGTGACCTCCAGTTTCAGAAATACTTATCTCATGATCAGACATTTGGAAATCTACCCATGTCAATCTAAAGGCAGAAAAGCTATTAACATAATGAGCTGGAAATTTGCGTCTAGCATCAAAAGAAAAAAAAAATATCAGAAAACACACTATTTTAAAAAATTAAATCCACAGTTTTTTATCACTTGACCACAGAACCTCCATCAGTTACAGAACCTAATTAAGTGACAAGTTGCATCACAACGAGCACTTACTACAGTCATCACACGTGACTCTGGAAGGAAGGTGTGAAAACAGCGACAGGCTTGTAAGTCCACCAGGTCCCTGAGGTAAAAGGCCTGGACTGCAGCAGCCACCAGGGAGGGGCGCTGCCTCAGCACGGCCACGATGCCCGCCGGAAGGTAGCAGTGCGCCCGCTGAAACGAGGCCTCGATTTTCTCAGGGTACCTGTGTCATACAACAGCAACGTAGTGCAGTAAGTGTTCTGAGAGCTCACAGCACTCCTTTCGAATTGTTATCCCATTTTCACTTCAAGATTAATCTAAATTGTGGACAAAGTGCCAGAAGGTTAATCTGAACTAAAGTTTAGAAACGTAACACTTGGAATGTCTGTTTATATATCGAGATTGCCCTGGTTTGGGGTAGAACAGAGCTTGTTCTGTTCAGTGATTTTACTTTTTAGCTAAAGCTCTTCTAATTAACTGCACTTTCTGAAGTTAGCATCATATTTTCGCAGACAGTGTCTGCTTCTAGCAGTGATAACACTCCATGTTTAGAGTTACTGCCAAGGATTGGGATGCAGACCAAGGTCACTGCTAAAGCTCATGTACCACACAGAGGGAGGCAGAGTGAAAGCCACACCTGCACAGAGGAGCAGACAAGATAAGTGACCCT